AAAAAATCTAATGGATGTTGGGTGATTTTGAGGATGATTAGATGTTGTAGTGGTTAAAAAAGTGATGAATTAATGTACTGGTGATTATAATGGCTATGTTTAAGGGTTTAAATTGTTATGACAGCTTTGGGTTAATGATGTTAATTAACCTAATTCTAGAATTAAAGCATGATTAGTGTTTAAGTACTTGCATCGACGATAATTAAATTACGTTAATGGTATTTAATACTATATTATATGTTGATTGCTGTGTTTGGAGTGTTGGTGGTGATCAATTGTTTATTTAGAAAAATTTACTTGTTAAATGTAAAGGTAGCATTTACTAATTCATTATGGTATTTGCTTTGTGATTGATTATGTGCATGTTAGGTTGAAAATAAATGTGACATGAATAATATTATGTTTTAAAATGTATATTATATGTTTAAAAAATTTATTGTTCAGTAGATAAAATTGCACATGATTATGTTCGGCATAAATTAAAATATTTGGAAGCATGTAAATTGTTTGGATACATTTCTTCTTATTTGGATACATATTTCGCATGACTTGTCAGGTTTGAAATGGTGATAGGAATTTCTTACGTGATTTATACTTATACCATATAGTTTGCCTTCATTGTACCCAATGAGTAGTTTATAACTTGGACTAGCTATTGATCAGGTGAGTTAGATTTCGAGCATAGTATAAAGACAATACAAGGTGTAGTCATGTATTTCTTGTTCGATTTGTTTGGTTATAACATATTTGAAAGAATGTTTTGTATACCCACTTAATAATAGCATAACTAGTTACATTGTATGTACTGTGACATATTAGTATTAGTTATTGAGACTTTTACATCTCATTCCCTCGTAGTTAACAATTTTTCAAATAAGAGTCCAGCTAAAAAAACACTAGAGACATAATATTAGTATGTGAATACCAACTAGTAGTGTCAGGCCCTATTTTGTTTAGTTATATATATTTTGCCCACTTTAAAGCATACTTTTTGTGTATTGAGCATGTGACTCAATATTTTTGAATTAAACTTGTATATGGTAGCTATGAGATGTGTTTTTTTAACTCTCGTGGTCTTGAATATCATGATTAGAACATGATTTGAGAATGAAAAAGATTTATAATCATATATGCTAGTTATCTTACTCTAACTGTTTTGGTGATTGTAATTTGACTATGAGAATTTTTCATGTGTTTGAATAAATGTTAGTCTATAAGTGTTAATTATCATGTGTTGGGCGTGGTCAAGTTCTTCACATAATGATTTACAGCTTTGGTGATGGTCTATGAAGTAAAAATGTCTAGAAGTTGTGTTTTAGACCCATTATGGTTTTTTTGAATGAAATCCTCATGCGAAATAATTTTTATACCAAATTAAAGTCATTAGTTAGGTTATGTGATAAGTTTTATATAAATATTTGAATAACTCAATTTGAATATTTATAGAAAAAATTATGCCTATTTAAATATTATTATTAGTGTTCATTACGCACAAGTGCTAATGTGGCACGATGTGCCATAGTGCATGACATATATATTGCAGCACATAATGTGCTTTGGACAAAAATACCCTTATTTGATTTGTGTTTTTTGAAATGCTCCTTTTGATATTTTTACCCTTTTGTAAACTTATTTTTAGACAATTTAACCTTTGAGAATCATGCTTTATCATGAAATAAGTTTCATGACATCAATTCGGGCTTTAAACATTTGTTTTTAATGGAATCCCATTTAACATTCATTTAATTTATTTTATTCCTTTTAAAATTATCATGGCAGGCTAAATTTACTTTGTTTAATCTTTTTTTCATGACATCAATTTAGGCTTTAAACATTTGTTTTTAATGGAATCCCATTTGACATTAATTTAATTTATTTTATTCCTTTTAAAATTATCATGGTAGGCTAAATTTACTTCGTTTAATCTTTTCTACCATATTAAATTATTTTCTAACATGATAGTTGACTTTGAAGAGTTATTTTAATGTATAAGAAATCATTTTCTACCTTTTTATAAAGATGCTTCAATTCTTAATTACTATGATAGATTCTTTTCTATCATTATAAAGTTTTGAAATGTTATTTTTTTCCCTCTCTACCATGATAAATATTTTATTATCATAATAGAGTCTGTAAAATAAGTTTATACTCTTTATTATTATGGTTAATACTTTTATATCATGGTAAGCATTTAAAAAGTTGAATTTTGATACTTGAATCAATTATTTCAGAAAATTTGGCTAAAAATTTTAAGAGTATTGCACATTTCATCTCAACCATTGAGATTAATGTGCCAATTATTCTATCTAATCACATTGAAACCTAAATATGTATGTGAAAGATCCATTTATAGTTCAAAGTTTGTAATGATCTGAGAGATAATGAAAACAATAATTAAGAGACGCAACCCTGATGGCCAATAGATTATTCAACAGTTTTATAGACTATAATAATATAGGTATTTAAAATTTTTCATTATTTATATATAGAATAATTCTTATTTTACTACTAGCTATTTCTTAATTTGATCTCGCATAAATAAAATACCTCAATCATATAGTTCACAAAAACAAAATCTTAATTGCCTAGTTTGATTAGGTGAGTTCGCACCTCACAATAACAATTTACCAAGTTACTACCTGCATCTTAAACAACTTGATGTATAAGATTTCAATGTTTGACTTTTGAAACATGATATAAATTAGATAAACTTACATTAACTCTCACAAAACCACTTATTATTATTTCAAATAAACAATTCATTATTCCAAATACTCCTCCCATTTATAATAGTATTTTAAATAAATGCCCTCATTCATTCTGCTTTGAAACAATAATCAATTTGGAATTATCTACACAAAATAAAAGGTTTCAATGGATAGCCTAAATTCTAACAAACCGCAACAACATACCGCAAAAAATATCTATCCTCATTTATTATATGTTTTAGCATTTTACTCCCTGCAGTTTTAACCGAATTACATTTTTTATAAGTCAATTAATTGTCTTGGTGATTAGTCTATCTTTTCAGGTCTATTCTTATTTAATAGGATATCTTATATAAAAATGAAATTTTGAGTGATTTATTCATTAATAATATTTTTAGAAAAAAATGGTTAATTACACATTAAAAAACTAAAGAGCCTTATATTTTAAAATATCCAACCCTCAAAAATTTTTTATATTTTTGGATTAACGAATATTTTTTCCCTTTAACTATTCACTCAGTAGCATCTAGTATTTTAAACTTACATTTAATATAATTTTTTCTTTAACATTTAAAAATAGTGTATTGAGTATCTTGCTATTAAAAAAATTACCTTCGATGTTGACTTCAAAAATTACAAAAAAAGGACCCACAAAATTATACATAAACACCCTATAAAAATTAATATCAATTAATTTTTATAAATTATATATAAATACCAGGATATGAATTTTATTTTTTATCCATGTAAAAAAACTAAAATGCAGTTTTGACCAATCAATTTAACTAGCCACATGGTAATTAATGGATTACAATTGCTAGAAACAACACCAATAAATACTTTAAAAAATATTATATTTTATTTAATAATATTATATTAAAATATTTAAAATTTAATATATAATACGTAAATATTATTATTATTTACAAAATTTCACACACAATTTAAAAGATAACTTTTAAAATTTTACACATTCTCTAGAAATTTACAACTTAACTAATGTATCTATTATTTCTAAATTAGCATGTTTTTTACGCTACATTAAATTTTTGAAGGAGGACCTTTAAATTTTGGATAAATTAGAAGAATATTTTAAAAACTTAATTGATATTAATTTTTATATTTATTTATAATTTTATGGATCCTTATATGTAATTTTTTGAATCAAATAATAATTAAAGTTAATTTTTTGAAAAAAACATAACTTTGGCTCACTATACTTTACTCTAATTTTGCTATAAGTTCTTAAAATTTTTTTTAATATTTTAGGTCCCTACATTTTTATTTTTTGATATTCCAAGTCCCTCCATGAGAGGTGTTATAGGGATCTAGCATATCAAAAAATAAAAGTACAAGAATTTAGAATATTAAAAATAGTAGAATGATCTATAATAAAATTCAAGCAAAATGTAGGAACTTAAAGTTATATTTTTTTTCTTTTTAATGTAAAGTGCCTAGCCTACCATTTTCAAATGTTGAAAAGGAAAATAAACCCTATACAAGTTTAAAATACTAGATGAATAGTTGAAAGGCAAAAATATATTTTAAACTTTTTTTTATCATAGAATACATTTTAATGTTTCTCTCTCTTTCCTTCAATAAATTTGTAAAGTTATCATTAATTAATAGTTTATTAAAATTTAAGGCTATTTGTTTTTAACTTATTTCATGAAAAAGTTACTTATTTTTTGAAAAAAAAATATTTTGTGAGTTTTTATAACGTTTGTTTAAACTTTTAAAAATAATTAAAATCTCAAAAAAGCATATTTTTTATTATTTTAAAAATTTATTTTGAGTAACTTTTGAAAATAATTTAATATGATAAATGAGATAAAATATTTTAAAGAGGTGAAATACATGGAGAGATATTATAAAATTTTAAAATAATGTAATAATAAATTATTTTTATATAACAAAAATAAAAGAAGGCATCTTAAAATTTAAAAATAACTAATTAATAATCATTTTTTATTGTAATTAAACATAAAATAATATTTATTTTTTTATAGAGTTTCTGCAACATAACTTTCTTTTTATAAAAAATTTAAATTACCTAAAAATTACTTATTTTATAATCTTAAACAAACGGACCTTGAAGTGGTAATTGTTCAGAGATAAAAACCAAAACCCTTCAAAATTACAGTGATACAATAATGTACTGTCACAACAAAATAAAAAATAAAAAAATAATATACGATCACAATTATATGAAACCAAATTTCTAAAATCTCTCCCTGTCTCTGTATCTCTCTGGTAAGTGATAACAGAATGGAAATTGACCAAAGACACGCATACAAACAAACATACTACTTATACCTCCAAGGCAAAGAATTTTAAAACAAACATCGCATTGTCCGTAACGATGTTTATTACAAACAATAAACGACAAACAATCAAAATGATCGAATTCAATCCAACACGAAAACCAAACACCATTTAAAAAAAAAAAAACAACCTTTGGAGTCTTATGTACAGGCACAATAATAATAATAATAACTATAGATAAATAAATAAAGCTGATGATGAAAGATCTAGAGAGAATTTTGGGAAGATGAGGATTGAAGAAAAGCATCAATTCTTTTCTTGAGCTCTTGAGGATTTGCTCCCACTATTCTATCCTTCTCACTTCCGCCACTTAGCATCACAAATGTTGGCATTGCTTTTATGTCCATTTTTGTTGCCACTTCCTACATAAACCACAGACAAATTCTGATCAATCTAAATTAGTCTGGGCCCTATTAAGTCTCCTTAGAACAGTATATCAGGTGCCATGTATCTACAATCAATATATATATATATATATATCTTTATTTTCAAGCAATTTAGGTGAAGATAAATTTTGATTCATATCTTATTCAGGTGATTTTTCTTATGTCTTTTTTCTTTTAAAAATCAAAAAGTATGGAGACCAAACAACTAGCTAGAGCGACCATAAATAAAAGCAGGCTAGGAATTATTCTGCAGAAGATATTTTATTATGTATGGAATAACCGATAACATCAATATTATAATTCAGAATCAGCTTCCAGATTAAAATAAACAAATTAGAAAAATAAATATCGTACTTTCCTCCCATGAGTCCCGTTGGAAGAAAATAACAGATGATAAATCTGGAGTGATATTCTGAGAACAAGTGAGGATTGGAATGAAAAGGGAAGTACCTGAACCTCATCAACATCAAGCAAGAAGAAGAGAAGCTGTTGATAGGAAGAAGAAAGGTGTTGGAAGGAAGGATTCATGGCGACAGAAGGCATGCACCAGAAAGCAGAAAAGTGAACCACAACCTGCAGCACAAATTGAATGAATGTCGCAGCAAGAGCAGAGAGGAGATCAAGGGAAGAAGATGAGTCATGAGAGACCAACAGGGAAGGCTTGGTTGGTTGCTCGACTGATCTGATTTTCCCATTCAGATTTTGAGCTTATTCTGATAACCCTAGATTTCTTCTTCACCTTCTCCATGCGGCCCTTCGTTTCTTCTTCTTCTGCGTCTGCTTCTTCTCCTTCAAAAGGATGCCTAGCTTATATAACTATAATTATAATATCATGCTTTCTCAAAGCATCAGAATCATGTGTTCAGATCGCATTAAATTATACATGTCGCTCTTTTCTTTTTTACTTTCTCATTTCTCATTTCTTTCTCTTTTTTTAAAATAAGAAATATAAAAGGCGAACAAGCTAAGCAGCTATTTGAATAGTAGGTTGCTCACAACAACTGTTTGGTTACGTGTCTTGTCTTGAAAGTTAAATTGGACTAAGTTTTTATTCCGCGTCTCATTCTGTTCAGGATCAGAATCGGATTGAAACGAGACCAGAATGTCCTAATTAAAAAAAAAAACAAAACAATAAAGAGAGATATAGATAATAATTTTTATTAAATTAGATGACTTGCTAAGTCAAAAGCCAAAATAATACAAGCATATAAATTTAATCATTGAGTTACAGTAATTACAATTATAATTTAAAGTAAAAACACACAATCACAATAACCATAACTTAAAATCAAGTGCACAATAATTACAAAATGACCTCTAAACTATCAATACTATAAATAGAATCATTAAGTTACATAATTTAAGTGGGTAGATAATCGTGTAAAAAGAACATAAAATAAATGAACAAAATATATATACTTTTATTTTAACAGAATAAATAATAAAGTATTAAATATTAATAAAAAATTTAAAAAATATAATAATATATTAGGGATGGGATGGAAGTTATGGTGGTAATCTGTGTCCCATCCCATCCTATCCAAGATATTTTTTTATCCTGTTTTACAAAGTTTCATCCCCTTATTTTAAGACTGGGCAGACCCATCCCAATAAGATTGGGATGAAACTAGGCTGACCGAAACAAGACAAGTATGAACACCCCTATTAAATAGTAGAGTACTTCCTTTGGATTAAAATATAAAACATTGATAATGAATTTGTTATTCTAAAAAATGTTAGTTGAAACCCTAACTTCTTAAAAAATTTAAATTTTTTCAATTTTAACCTTGTTAAATATCCTATATAAATACTTTGATCATGATAATTAAAATTTTAATGCATCATTTTTTTAAAAAAGTATAACAAATAAAGTAGGGGTATAGTTGAAAAAATAATTATAAAAATTACTCAATGTCCTATATTTTGAACTAAACAAGACTTCTAAAAAATATACTATATTATGCTCCGAGGAAGTATATTATATAGATGTACCTTTAAAATTTTTATTAAAATAAAATAAATATTTAAGGTTTGAGTTTTATTATAATATTGTTTCTTGAATTTGTTAAAATTTTTATTATTTATAAATTTTCTTCTAAAGCTACGATCAAATTACGTAAATTCTTCTTGAGAAGACTATCTGTAAATTTGTTCTGAAAAGATATTGGATCCGAATAAATTTCTTGATTTCAAATGGTATTATATTAAAACTAAGTAAATCTAACGATTTCTTTAAGAATGGGAACTAATTTTCAGAATCACCAAGTTCCCTTTAAATTATTTTTAAAAATTTAAAAATTATTAGACGAAAAAAGTGTACTAACACCCCACATGCCCACACTAACTTTATTATATATATATATATATATATATATATTTAAAGTTAAATAGTTAAATTGAGATGAATCTAATTATCTGGCAAATACAAAATAAATAACATACTCCCCTGAAGACACGAAATGGATTTATATGAAGACAGATTAGATTAGATTAGATGGCTATTGGCTTTATCCAATTCTAAGGTCCATTTACTCTTATTGATCAATATGCCACTCAAGTTCATGTATCAAATTAAATTAAGAAATAATTTGATCATTTATTAATTTCCCAGTGAATAAATAGCATATTTACTTCTTTGGAATTAATGAACATGCATGCATTGCTAGCTGTCTTCTTTGGTTATTTCCTGAATCAGTGTTATGTCATCCTGCAATTAAAGAGCAAACTTTAATTCATTTGTACCTTAAGAGTCACCATTTTTGACCCTTCAAAATGTAATTATTCCATTCTTTACTACCATTGTCAGATATTTTGAAAAATCTACCACCTCTCGCCTGGACTAGTTAGTATTTCCATTGACATGTTTATTTGACTCGATTTCATATTCTAATAAATTTGAACCTGAGATCTCAGGACATGTTGATTCAACTTATTCTACGAGTCATGCACGTTTTATCAAAATGCAGATCTTGCAGTAATTGATAGGGTGCCATATATTAGAATTTTTTATTCAATTTTTTAATTACATCAACAAAGTCTTATCTCATTGTATAGGGATAGCTACGCAGATCTGTATCATGTCATTAGGTTTCTTTCGACAATTTTTCTTTTAATTTATATAAAAAATATATAAATGAAGTGATATTATTGTATTTTTAAATATTTAACATATTAAATTTATAATTTATTTTTCTCTCACACAATCTTTCTTTGACATAATATTATATTATTTAATGCCAAATTCCTTTCCACGAACTCTTCAATGATCATTTCCTATCGGCTATCATCTGTTCAAATATCTTCGTGGTTAGAACATGCTTATCAACTCTTACGATTTTGGATAACGTAGATGATGTGAGACCGGCCAAATACATATGTATCCTAATCCTATTATTGAAGTGGCGTCCAAAAAAAGTTGTATAGAATTTGGTTTCATTGATTAATTTCTTTAATCAATATAAGCTCCATGATGTGTCTGGATTAGTATCATTGACTTACATCTACTTTAAAAATAACAACTAAAAACGCATAAGCAAAGTAAATCGGGAAAGTCATGGCTAGAAATGAAAATTTCGATGGGCTATAATTTTTATCTCCATTTTATTTTGTTCCTATTATAAACAACTTTTTTTTTTATTAACAGCCAATAGAATATTTTTACTCCACATTCTTAAAATTAAAATATTTTTAAAATATAAAAATTATTGTAAAATCTAAATCTAAACTGTCCACCGAGAGAGAGAGAGATACGGGTGGTTTCTCGGTGAAATAAGGAACTATCGATTAAATTGAGGGTAGAATTTAGTGAGAGTCAAACTTTGGTCAAAGTGGGAAATAAAATCTCATAATGTATTATGAACATTAGCAAGAGATCATGATCATATAAAATGTAAGTTACTCATTCCAGATTGGCACGCATTGTGTGGGCCACCTGTGTTTTGTTCTAAATTCCTCCTTATCTTCTTCTCATTAGGAAGACAAGCACAATTGAATTCTATCCATTTAAAAATATATATTGCAACGAACATGAACAAAATGGAGGACACAAAAAGGACCGGAACTTCTGATTTTGGATCCTTCTGATTGGTCTTTGAGCCCAAAGAAGCAATCTTGGCTGGCCCAAATTGTTCGGCCCAAGGAAACCCCAAAATGAGGGAGAAATTACAAAAGCACCCTCAACGAGGATAGGGTCTCTCCCTGTGGTGCGGGTGAACTGGACAGCAACGACTTGAGGGATATGGCTATAACTGGACAACTGAGACTCATCAGCATGCTCACAAAATGACTTCTCTCGCAAACTTGAGTGGAGTCTCGAACACCTTCCCTCCCATCACCAACCTCCCAAACACTCACAAAAACCCTAAGAGAAGGAGAAGACAGTTTCAGATACTCGGGCTTCAGGGAGGCCAAACGCAGCAGGCTCCACAACAATGTCCTGTTCCGATCACAAGAAGAGCAGCCATAGGACTCGTGTCCTTCATTCTCACTGCAAATTCCACTCACAAGACTTCTCTTGCTCTGGATAATGGCTTCTGGTATGAAGAACCCTTGCCATCCCCTTCCATCTCTAACCGTAAGCTTTCTTTCTTCTTCTTCTTCTTCTCCAGCCAGCACTTCCATTCGAATTCATTCAAAGATTTAGATGCACCCTTGGGTCTCGAAACACACAACTGAATGTATATACATGCTTTCTTAGAACTTTATAGAATGTGATTTTTGTCATTTTGATGGAGACTGATCGTGTAATGATGTTAGAACTTGCGAATACGAACACTGGGACTCGTTCTTTTCTGAAGAAAGGGATCTACATGGCGAATATTGGGGTAAAGGGAAGCGTGTACAGGATTAAGAAATACGCGTTTGATCTTCTGGCTATGGCGGATTTGGTTGCAGAAGATACACTCAACTATGTGAGGAAGTATCTCAGGCTCAAGTCTACCTTCATGTACTATGATTTCGACAAGGTCATCTCTGCAGTTTCATTGAACGATAAGCAGCCACTCATGGATATGGCCAACAAACTTTTTGACAATTTTGAGAAGGTTAAAAAAATAAGGAAAAATATTTTCTGTCTTTTTCCCGTTCCCCCTCCCCGGAAAGTATATATATACTCAGAATAATGAATCTCCCTGTATTTACAGCTTGAAGATGCTGCGAGGAGGAAAAATTTTCCAGATACAAAAGCATCCTATCAGGAAACTTCAGTTATGCTCCACGAGGTCATGGACCGAATGTCTTCATTATACAAAACAATTTGATTACATCTCAATCAAAATTAATTGTTCTCAGAAACATCCTTCTTACTTGGCTTCTATGAAAAATATATTTGATTCCTTTAAAGTGCATCATGCACTCTAACACCGAGTAAGGTCCACATCAAATTTCATAAAATTTTGAACCTTAATCTCTCGTTTTTCTCGACAAGACGGAGGGGAAGATAGTGCATCTTCAAGAGAGACTTCACAATCAATAAACAAATAAATATAAAATCATACATATACTCTTATATTCAATAGTAGAGCATGTTTGACAAGTTATCTCCAGAGAGAGGGACACCTCCTTATAGCAAAGGAAACGTCAAAAATAAATAGGTGACATGCAGCAGAGTGGAAGATTCTTCAGCTGATGCAGACTCAGTAGCTTCTTCACTATACAGACTATATTGCCGATCGATGTTAGAATCAAACTCTTTTAATTCCATTTGTTGTTTTATTGTAGTACACACAGCGCCCATTGTACCACTTGCACCAAATAGGATTAGGAGAGAGATTTGAAGTATTCATCTAATTGAGAGATTAGAAATAGCTCAGACGTGATTCAGTGGGACGGCCATTGGTTTGTCGCCGAGGCGTTCCAATCTCACATGCATTAACTCGGGAGGCGAATCGAAGTGAGCATAGAGACTCTCCTACCGAGGAAGGATCAGGAGAGATATTCACAAACATTAGTATCTTCGAGTCACCCCCAAGGCAAGGCTGTTCAATAATTGGACCAAAGAACATTAGTACATTTTTTTTGTTTTTTAATAAATGATTTTGGAGTTTGGACAAGTGACTAAGATAAGATTAAGGTTTACTATGACCACTTGAAGGAGCCAGAAACTTTGCTTTAGGGTTATCCCATTTTGGCATGGAATGTTTTTATCACTAGTTACAGAATTAGAATGTCAGAAAACACCTTAATTTCTGTATAAATTAATAAATCAAAGATTGCCTCAAATAAAAAATAATTACCTGAAGTAGATATGTAAGCTTTGAGTTCCTGAAGGGCACATGATCCTCCTTTTTCGCCAATGCAAATATAACATCGCTTAATGATGATAAACTTTTGTTGATTGCCTGAATTGCAATGGAAGACAAATTTATTTATTTAAGCTTTAGAAGGAAAAGGGGGGAAGGACAATTTTATTATTTGAAATAACACAGTCATTAATATAACCCTGTGAAACTCTTTAGCATAATGGCTTTACATACTTGAGTTTCTTTCAGCCTGTCCCCGGTGGACCCACTTTTTGAAAGACGCTCGCTCCCAGCAAGATCAATTAGATTCAGAATACCTTGCACTTGTTGGTCAGTACTCTAGAAGAATGAAGAATTAGGTTAGGTATTTATGTCCCTATCCAGGAACAACATGGAACGTGAAACATGCTTCTGATTAATATCAGAAAAGAAACGTATGTACCTCATTAACACCATATATTCGAAGAGTGAACACAAAATGACTTCTTGATGATTGTTCATTCATCTGGGTTTTCCCAACAGACCTAACAGGAGAAAAGAAATAAAAAGATATAGTTACATCCAACCGAATAAAAGCAGAGTAATTTGACTTTACAGGAGCAGAATGAGTCAAACGTTGCATGGCAACAATGTGAGGCTTAAACAAAATAAGTTGCCCATTACCTATGGAACCCATTCAAATCATGAAAACTGTACACTTCGAATGATAAAATTTAGGTTCAGTTGCTTAGTTGCTTAAGTGTCATCATCAAGCTCTTTAAGAAAACTGACACATGAAAATACTCTTTTAAAGGAATTTAGTAATGCAGTGCTCAGCTGCAAAGAATGTCTAGTGTCTACATGTAATTTTAAATTGAAAAACCTGAGTAGAAACACCTAAAGAACTGGACCCAAGTCTTTTGACTTTCCCACTTTAATCCATTGTAAGTATAGCTATGTATTCCTAACAGAAGTTCATTCATTGTCTTGAACCCCTATTAAATGCAACACAAGACATTGCCAAATGAAGTATAGTAAAAATGAGCACTCTAAACTAGTCACCTGCCATTTGCAGCTTGATTTAAAAGAAATGCAACCTCTTTAACACTTTGAACGTCCACTACAGTAAGATCAGAAACAATTGTATTTCCATTGGCATCATGCTTGATAGCATACTGCTTTCCAGGAGTACCATTTTCTGTACGTGTTGCATCTGATAGTGATCGATTTGTAGATAACAAATCACGAATAGTTTCATTATATATTTCCAACATTGACACCTGTGATTATGTGGGAAAAACCTCATCAACAATAAATTTAAATACACACACAGAGGCATTGCAATGACAGGTATTAAGAGGAGAGCACTTTGTCACCTGCATTTCATATTTCCATCCTTGGGATTTTAGAGACTCCTTTGTTTCAAATATCTGTTGTAATGATCGAGGTATCAACCCCTTCTCCTCTGGATGTCCAGGTCTGCCCATCATTGTATAGGTTTTTCCTGACCCTGTCTGACCATAGGCAAAAATGCAAACCTGGAAAAGAACCAATTTTCAAAGAATCCATGAGGCACGTAATGGATACAGATCAATGTTATAAAAGAGTATATTTGAAGCCTTTCCCACTGTGCAAAACTAATGGTGCGATATTTGGAGCACCAACAGGTCAAAAACTAAAAGAATACCAGGCAAAAGAAAGTTAAAGATGCCTACATTTTGTGCACATCTAAAGAGTAAACAGGATTAGAATTGTGTTTTTTTCCCCCCTGATCAGCTGGCAATTGTGAAACTACTTGTATTTTTTTTATTAATACTTTACAAAATAATATATCAAAGTGACCGAAAGAAGAGTAAAGAAATTACCTTATAGCCATCAAGAGCACTTTGCACAAGCTGTGAAATTTCTACAAAAACTTCTTCTTGTGTGGCGTCTGGCGCAAAAACCTTATCATATGTAAAAGAATGTTTTTGGCCTAAGGAAAATATAAGAGTAATATGAGTTGACAATATAAACAGATCAATAACCAACACACATATCAATAAGAACTTTAATGACAACAAAAAGCTGCATACCAGTTTGGTTTAAGTCAATGCCTCGTCCAAGAGCTTCCATTGATGTGGGATAAGAGATAATCTTGGTGTCTGTGTTACAAGCTTCATCAGGCAATGAAGGGCGCACTCTACAGAATACGCGGATGTTCCCCTTTAATTCCTGTTGAAATGAAGAATTAATAGTGTATAGATTTTTTATTAGTTATTACCAACAATTATTTTTGTATCTGAGAATCACCAAAATGGTATTGTGTAATTTTTTCCGCAGCTTCTCCCCTTCTATCAGTTTAGATTCAGCATCTGCCAAGCGTCTCTGTAACTCATTTACAAGTTTTTGTTGCCCTTCAAATTCAGTCCTTGTCTCAAACGCAGATATATCAGACACCTGATATGGTACAAAAACAACCACATCATAAAATTAAGCAAGCAACATTTTGTCACTAAAACCATGATTGATGCGTCCAAGAACTAGATAGACCCTGATTACATATATATATATATATAGATATTCTCATAAACGAGTGCCTTGTTACCTGCATTTTCTTCTCTGCAACTGCTAACTGCTCTTGCAATGTCTTTATCTGACTCTCTTGCATAGAACATCTTGCCTATGAAGGAAACTCATCAGCTACTGCATACATAATGATGAGGAAAGAATATTGACTCAAGAAATTGGCTAAAAACCAACCTCTAGTTCGTTAGCTTTAATCCTCAAAGTGTCCAGTTCACTGCAAGACTTTTCTGTAGATTCTTTTAATTTCACTAATTCAGAAGTTAAAGTTTCAACTTGAGATAATTGGCGGTCTCGATCGTCTCTGACTTGTTGCAATTCCCCTCTAAGAGATCCAACTTCACTAGCCAAAGCATCCTTCTGTTTTATGGCCTCTTCTTGAGAAGACTAACAATCGAACCAATGAAACTGTGTAAGATACCAGCTTCATGTCAAGTACAAATAGAACAAACCGAACAGCTAACCCAGTCCAACAGATTCAGTCGTCTAAAACTTCAAGAAGGAAGGTAATAGTACATGTAAATCCACAAGCCACATCCAAGCATGCTTAAATTTATAACGAATATTTAGTTCAAAACTTCTGATAAATCCTCAAATGAAGACCTTTATAAGTGAGTACTATGTGCTAAATAAACCTTTAGAAGTACAATGCTATACACAATAAGATCCACCATGCATCAAGTGGTAACGAGGGATGTATAGGGCTAACGATGGGGACTATAAAACATGAAAAGGTTTTCCCAGAGAAAATAGCCTAAGACCAACAAGTAAGAATATCACATTACAAGATTCTTCCTCACAATAATATTATTAAAAAAAATTGCAATACTTTGTGCTTAAAATGAGGATTTCATATGTCTATTATGATCCGCAGACTACTTATTCTGAAGTGAAATAGTTCAAAAAAAAAAAATTACTTGGGACAAAGTAAGTTGACCCCTTAACATGGTGAGGTTTTCCACTGCAGTAGCCTTCTCTTTTTCCACACGCTTAAGTTCATCTTCAACAGTAGAAAGTTCAGTATGAAGTTTTCCATTGTATTGTTGGAGACTTGTTATGTAGTCCTGTAACCGCTTATACATTTCATTGAGTGACGATATCTGCAAAAACCAATAGGTGTAGACAATCAATTATCACTTGCTAGCATAATTCCTGTAATGATTAAAAAGGTTATATATGAAAATGGAAATAAATTCATGCAATAGGATTGCATAACTACTTTACCTTTTGATTTGCACTTTGGAGTTCGCGTTGAGCTCTCCCGAGGTCATCCGTCAGAGAAGTCTGTGACCTCTCAATATTAAGCTTAGCCTCTCTCTCTTTGGCAAGAGATTCCACCGCGGCCTTGTATATACAAAGATTGTTTTATTAAAAAAAGAAAAGAGTGAGGAGGAGAATTTCTGAATAACATTTCCTTTGGACAAAAATTTCCAACTGACTCGAAAATCTCCCTTACCAGCTTTTCAGATTCCTCCTTTATTAATTTCTCTTGTAAAGAAGTGCAATTCCTTCTCATTTCCGCAATAATTGAATTCAGTTCTTCTTCCTTGAGTTTAAGAAGTATCTCTGTAATCAGATGAATCTAAATGTATTAGCAAACATATCAATGAGGTTATATTAAGAACAGAGGGGGGAATATGACAGAATCTCACCTATCTCCACGCATTTTTGCCGGGATAACTCCAGTGAATTCTTTAACTTTTCTTGCTCCAGCGAGTAGCTAAGTTCAAGGTCTTGGAACCATCTGATGCAAATCTTAAGCCTTCTTATATATTCCACCATATTTTCGCACCTTTCCTAGAAACCCAGAATTTGATGTTGAAGTAGGGGTAAACAAATAGGATCCAAATCCATCAACACCGAAGAGGTAAAAAGGAAAAAAAAAAATGGCCCCTCAAGAATTCAAGAAATATAAATATAGAGCATCAACTCAAGAACGAGGCTCGAGCGTTAATTAACTGACCTTATAATTGAACCTGTCCTTCCTTTTGGCTTTCTCATTCAGCAGCGCTTCAACGTCCTCCCTCGTAAACTCAATAATACCACAGTCCGACCCGGCATTGCTCGGCGGGGCACTGCTGGGGCCAAGATCATGACCGCCGTTAACGAACGTAAAAGCTTGCCTTGTTCTTCCGTTAATCGGAGTTCCCACCATTTTTTCCGCACCAACTTGTCGGCCTTTATCTACAGGTAGCTCATCACCAACAAACTTCTGAAACCTCAACCATAAAAAAAGAAGGAACAATGAGCAAAACAAAGAATGAAGACAAGATCACGAATTTAAGCAGAGTGTTGGAGTAAATTCGTGGAAATTTGAACTGCCGAGGAGTGAAATTTATGGAAAGAATGAAATAGTGAAAATCAAATCTCGGGAAATGAGAGGAGTTGGTGGTTGTACCTTCGGAGTGGAAGAGCTAGAAGGTGGGGATGAGAGTGATAGTGTAGGCCGGTTCTGGTTCGGGGTGACCATTTTGAAGCGCACGCCCAAACACAAAGGGGATAGAGAGTGAGTGTCTAGTGTGGGGCCATTGATTGTATCGGAAGCTAACGATGTATCAAAGCCGTTGCTTTAGCGAGCAGGAAGATTGATGATGAAAGAAGGACGAAACCAGAAAAAAGGAGAGATGGCGAAAACAATTCTGGGAAAAAAAAAATGTTGTTGAATCTTTCTGTTGCTCCTCTTCGCTGTATTTCTGGATCTGCAGAGAGTGAAAATAATTTACGTCCTTAGCTAAGCGTAGATTTTTTACTGACGATGTTGACATTTGAAGTTCCGCTTCCAACATAGCGGTGACGGTCACGTGTAGTGAGAGATTCTTCGGATAAAGTAGTAGTAATAATAATAATCAGATGTGTTTGCAAAAAATAAATAAATAAAGGTGAATTTGATATTTGATAATTTCATAATATTTTGTAAATTACTCAGTGTATTTAATTTCAATTTTTCCAAATTCGTATAAAAGTTGTCTTTCAAGATATAAATATAAATGCAAATGGACAACACTGAACTGAAGACTGAAGTACTCAAATCTACATGCTTAAGATTTGTTTTTAATTAAACTAGGACGTGCGTATTTTAATTTGTAACTAACTCATTTTATTTACATTTTAATTTTTTAAATTTAAGAACCAATTATCAAAATTTGATTGAAAAAGTACATAGTAATTATATATTTTAATTTTGTAAATTTTATAATAATTATATAATTTGAGGGATTAATGTATAATAAATTCTTAAATTTTTGCTCAGGTAAAAAATTATTAATTTTTGAAGAGCTGATTTCGTGGAAAATAATTATTGAACGATCATGAACATGAAGTATATTTTCTTAAGGAATATATCATGTATTTTCTCTGAAATAGTTTTTATCGTGTAACTTAAATGCTTTTTAAAAAGAAAAAGAAAACAAGAAAAAAGTTAGCCTAAACCAAACGTCGTGATTAATGTATGAAAGTATCAACTACGTATATTTTATTTTATAAGGGACATTTATTTTTGCTATATGACTAAGGGGCAAAAATAAAATAGTTAACTTTTTGTGTACAGTACTCTTAAAAACACTAATTTAACTGTAAGCACATTTCGTGGTCATCAGAATTAATCGAGATCGTTCAAATTTAAATATTTTTTATTTTTTTAAAATAAAAAATTTGTAACATATAATAAATTTATTAGTTATTAATATGCACAGTTTATATTTAATCATGTAGGTCCAAATTTAATTTTTTTTAGAGTTTTTATAGATTGACCATATAGATTTACCTTGGATTGTTTTGAATCTGACAATAGGATAAGTTAAAAATTTTGAATTTGATCAACACAAAGCAGATCTGTATTTTCAATTTATAAAAATTATAAAAAAATTAATATTAAATTTAGACCAATTTGATTAAATATAAACAATACATATTGGTAATCAATAGATTTATTCAAAATTTTTAATTTTTTATTTAAAAAATTAAAAAGTATTTAAATTTAAACTGTTTAGATTAAATTTTGATGGTTAAGATTATTTTAGAAATGATGAGCGTGAATGTGCTCCCCAATTCAACTAGCATTGTGTTTACAAAATATACATGCTTAGTGACACGTATGGAATCACATTTTTATTTAAGATTAATGGTTAGAATAAAATTATCAAGAAAAATATTAAAACCAACTTGCTAAAATTATGGTTATGGCATCGATGGACAAACAATAATTCACTGAAAAAATATTTGAACTACTCGATAAATAATATATAATTGAAGCGTTTCTAAAATGGGAAGGTACTGAGGTAGAGCCAATAATAATGACAAGAAAAAAAGAAAGAAGAAGGAAAGAAAATGGTGGGTAAGGATATCATAAAGTTGAATAATGAGCGGACAATTTAAGTGGCATAGATATAGAAGTTGAGGTAGCTGCATTAACTTAATGCTCAGAGTCGCAATCTTCTGGTGGGTTAGGATTAAATGATATAAGTGCGTAATGATTAAGTCCTTAAAAAATTAGAAGACAAATGAAAATGATAGTTTGGTAGTATCAGAACCTAACTACATTGTAACAACTGCTTTTCTTTTCTTTTTTTTATGTGGTATATTGATTATAAAATTTTAAATATAGTTTGCTGGCTTTCTTAATTGTTAGCATTTACTTCTATTTCTATTTATAAGATTGAGTATTTTTTTTTTTTTGCCTTCACTAAAAGTCATGTTAATAACTTTTCATGTTAAGTTTTGTTTTTACCGTTCATTAAAAAGAAAAAAAAGAATGCATTGTTAAAGTATGTGTGTGTATTTATCGAGGATAAAGTCAAAAATCTATTAAATTTTAAAAAAATAGTGAGTTTAAATTTTTTTTTATCTCTATTAAAACACATTGAAAATAACTAATAAATAAAATTAAAATAATAATTTATTTTTATTCAATAAAGGAAATGTTAGGTTACCCTTTGCTATTATTTTTTACGCCCGTGTGTTGTTTATATTTTATTTAGAATTTAAATGTTCAAGAGTTGAGAATTGGGATTGGTGAAGTTTTTCTTTTTCGTTTTTAAGTATTTTCGGCAATTTATTAAAAAAAATAACAGAAATTCATCAATACCAGTTTCAGACAATTTAAAATCTTTTGTCTAAACATATCAAGGATAAAATTTTGATTATATATATTTATAGAATATTAACTTCAATCAATACAAAAAATATATACATTATTTATGAGTCGTGAATAATATAACTACCCTTTGATTCCATGCAAAGCATAAGCTTACAATTTAGTTTTAAAGATGAAAAATTTTCTCTACTTGAATCAAACACTCAACATTCTAGGTATAATCTTGTTTTTCCTCTCAATTATTGTTGTGTGTGTCAAAAAAGTGTGTGCGCATCAAAAGTTTCACATTAACTAAATAAAGAACTCTTCTAGTATATAAATATTAAGAAATGAAGTGGGCTAGTAAAATGAGTTTGGAGGAGAAGTGGGCTTACGCGCACAAAACAAGCCAACTCAAGGTAATCGCAGTTGAAATCAATCGATTCGCCCCCTGTGCACGAGTTCAAGAGGCAATTACCAGATCATTTTTATAAAATAAATAATTATTTTTTTGCTTACGGAAAAATCTCAATTTTTGGTTGTTGGGAGTTTGAAATCAAACCATGAACGTTTTTTACCATTAACCATATTAATTTCTCAACGTATGTCTCTCCAATGTTTTCAGACAAAAGCTTAAATGTGTTTTACATCTGCGTAACCTCCCCAATATTTTCAGATAGGTGTTTAAACGTGATTTATGATAGTGTAACCGAAGCCTTAATCCGGTGATTATGAGCCAAAGTTCATGCCTCCACCTTCGAGCTTATGTATAGCCATAGGTGCGGACAGAGCAATTCATCAATCTCTTGAGTTTTCGAGGCAATTCTCTCCTCCTTCTACCATCTATTGTGTTGTTCATCTAAGTCTATTTTTATTTTTGCTGTTCTGATTCTTTGCTCCACAAAAAGTGCTTATTTAATTTTGAAAAACTACCAATCCGTCGTCCTGATGTGTTGGAATAGTTATTAAGAACAATATCCTTTTAAACATGCCTCAAGCAGCTCATCATTTACCTCTATACTATCGGTGCTGCCAACAATTATTGCCTCAAAACAAGATTTCTAAATGTCAGAGCATTCTCGGTTTTGTTAGCCCTAGACAATTAGAGTGTTCTTGATTCTTGTATGGAATGTAAACGAATATAGAGCTTTTTTTTTTTTAAAATTCTAATTGCAAGTAAAACGTCCGTTTCTATTTATTTCATAAATTAAGAACTATGGTACTAAAGTGAAATCTGACTGAACGAATCAGCTACTAACATATGTGTGTGTGGAAACATAATTATTGATTTCTATCATTTTAATTTATTTTGTTATTAATCTTTGTATTTTTTTTATTTCTTTAGGCCCCTATAATTTTTTCCATTTGCGATAATAGTCCCTCTATTTTTAAATATATCTATATAAATAGTAATATTGCACCAATAATGTTAATAATCTAGCGTAACGTCATTTTACTGTGTGTCAAATGAATGTTAAGTTTTATTTTGTTTGTTTTTACAAATTTAGAAATGATCTCTTCATCTCTACTTTGAAATCATTCACCACATCAAAACACTTTATTTTATTCTTTTCTTATTTTAAATGCATTAATTGTTATTTTTGGTTAAGGTTGATGTTGAAGTTTTTCTTTTCTCGGTGTATGTAATTGAGCATAGTTTTCTGTTTTCCTCCAATTAATTTTTGTTACTCTAAATTTTGTTATTATCCTATCTCTTTCTTTCTTATTTTAATATTATGCACAAAAGTTAATGCTGTTAGTTATACGTCAGATTATTCAACATTGTTAGTGCCACATTATCTTCCCTTGAAGCATGTTTAAAAATAAAAAAAACTAACATTGCCAATGAGAAAAACTATAAGGACATGAAGCAACAAATACAAAGTACAAGAATTAATAACAAAATATATTAAACTTACACACACACACATATATATGCGCGCGCGCGCATGTAAGAATATTATATTTTATAGTGTCTCTATCTTTTAAAAAATTAATTATTTTGCAAACAAAACACTATGACCTCAGTAATTGATAATTGATTTTCAGTGCGTAAAATGTAATAATTAAACGCTTCGCATTAAGTTGGCTTATTAAAACAAAAAAAAAAAAAATCCCTTGACAGCTACATTAAGTAATGATGGAAGTTAGGAGCAGCATAGTAGAGGTGAATGACTAAGTACTCTCTCCATTTCTATTTGTTAGAAAAAAAATTATATCAAATAATTTAAAAAAAATTAGTTAATTATATTAATTGTGTCAGTAAATAAAAATTTTGTTAACTATAATATCCTTTATTAATTGTATTAATCAAGCTTTTATTAATTATTTCTCATGACTATGAATGATAACTATAAAGGATAATTTAGGAAGTTTACAACGAATGTAATTTTGCTTGTGTAAAAAAAAAAGTTAAACATGACAATTTATTCTATAAATAAAAATGAATAGAGTATTGAGAACTAATGCATTCAACCTTGAATTCCAAACTTGAAATCGCATCACTTGTACTTAAACGCCACTTTACCCCCAATGATTTGGGAATGAAGAATAAACATTCTCTTAATTATAAGTTAATT